AGCGGAAGCTAGAGATTACGGTTTATAAAGTTTTAAATATGGATGTTTTTCTTACAAAAATGCATCGATTCACTTCAGGAGGCCTATATTAACCCCCCAGAGCCGTGTGGAGCACTTATTCGTGATGGATTGGTTAAGTTTATTGGACTTCTATTGGACTATTGAATATCACCCATTCACTGCCATTATAAAGCTTGGAAGAGCCAGGACATTTTTAAATATAACTCAGATTGTATTTGTCTGAAAGAAGACAGTCATATACACATAGGATGGCATGAGGGTGAGCAAATTATGGGGTAATTTTCATTTTTGGGTGAACTATCCCTTTAATCTTAGTTAAATCACCCGTAATAAGCATATGGAGCACACATGCAATCTGTAGATTGTACTAGCAAATTAGTACCCTTTTTTTGGGTACCTTACATTATTAATGGACAAGGCTTGCGTTGCTTTTTTTGTCCTTGGTACAAAGGATTGGCAAGTGAGTGTGTCTGTGGTTTGAACTGTTGAGAAGAATTCGAAAAGATGACTGACACCTTCTTGCTGCCTCAGAAGTCAGGGAGGCACTAGACGGAGCTGATGTCAATAAAACAGTCGAATCCAGCCTAAAAGACCTTTATCCCAAGTGTTTAGGCTCATTTTGACTGAACTTCCTCTTCCTCTCCCACCTCACACATATTGACAAGAGCTGTGTGATACTGAGGAAGACAGAGAGACTTCAAGATGACTCTTGATGGCTAGCGGCTTTTTGGCCCTCATACGTTCTTCTGAACTTAACCAGGGCAGCTGAGCTTCAAGAGGAGTCGGCCACTCATCTGACCTCAGGTTAGATGGGAATGCTGGAGACATGTTGCCGCTTTCAGGTTTAAAAAAAAATAACAGCAGTGAGAAATAACCACAGAAACTGCAGAGGAGTCTCATAAGGGAAAAGTCACTTTAGAGACTTTACCCTGCACCTCGAAAAAACATAGAACCATTGAAGTGGGTCAAACTGCAATACATTTTTTCTTCAGGAAACAAATTTTACATGGGCCATCAAGTGATGACTAAACACAGCACTAATATTACAAAAGTAAACAAAAAAAAGCCCTTAAATTCAAACATTTATATTAATAACGTATCATGTGAAACTGAAGATTAGAGTAATGGCTGCTAGAAATTGAACTTTGCATCACAAGAATAAATGACATTTTAAAATTTCAAAACTATTTAAATACAGTTCTCTTCTAAATTATAATAATATTTCCCAATATTACTGTTTTTGCTGTATGTTTGACAGATAAATGCAGCCTTGGTGAGCATAAGAGACTTACCGACCCCAAACTTTTGAATAGTAGTGTACAATCACAATAATTCATTAAAAATGACAAAAAAGCAACCTATCAGTTGCCCATACACCTTGTGTGCTCTATCTCAGGTTTTCTGAAGCCATATGATAGTGCTGAGTGAAGAACAGACTACGAAGATAGTAAATACTATAGATTAAAATTGTTGTTTTGGTCATACTGGATAAAAGTCATTTACTTTTAAGAGCATACTGGATATACATTTGATTCTGGCACACTCCCTGAATGCTTTTTGAACCATACCCTCCTTTGCACTACAGCAGCGACCTGAATAATACTCGAGTCTTCAAATCATTAGAAATACTAGCCTGATTTTCTGCCTGTGATTAGACATTTCTACAGTGCTGAGAAGGAGACATAAATCATAAGTGCAGAAAAAGAAGACGACAAATGTACTGTAAGAAAGCAACACTTTGAAATAAAAACCATGACCTGTACTAGCCTTGTCACCGGCTCAGAAATGGTTTGCATGCTCTGGATGCCTGAGTTATTCGAGCCCACGGGGGGGTTCTGCCAACTGAAAATGAGATCCTACCCCAGAGGCCCCCCTAGATATGGCAGCCCTGTACACAAGGGCAATTCCTCCACTGCCTCAGTTAGTCAATCAGGCTGAGAGACAGAGAGCAAGTGAGGGGGTGCCATTTTCGGCAGCAAGCCTTGGATGCTTTTCAGTGAATATAAAATATATAAGATATTTTAAATATATAGGAGAGGAATATAGAATAAAACCAGGAAAATGGTAACCACTGAATGCCAAGATTCCACTGGAAGCAATATAATCACTTTCTGATCTTACTCACACAGGAAAGAAAAACACAAATGAGATCAATTTTACATCTCAGTTGTTTCTCCTAGACAGCAATGGGATTAAATGGAAAGTAAATGAAATCTCCTGCTCCCTAAATTTTGCTCTTGAAAAAAAAAGCGATCCTCGTAATCTTGCATCTGTTTCTTGTAGGGTTTCAAAGTTAGAATCAAAAGTCAAAAGTATTCAACATGAACCGAAACATTTCTCGTCAAATAAAAGACAAGATAAAAAACGAAATTAAATAAAAAATATAGAAAAGCTGTGCTAACCACATTAATTTTATACTGTATCTCAACTGTTTCATTCGTTTGTAGTTTTATTTCTCCTCAAGGAATTTTACTCTGCAAGTTTTGTTTTTGCATTTTCTCTACTGATCTAGGAAAATCTGTGGAATACTGCAAAATGAACTTAAAAATGACAATATGAGTGCTACTACTTATTTGTAATTAAAAACACAATTAAACTAGCCAAGATATTAATAAGAAAAAGATCATGTACAGAACATTTCTGTGTGCACAGGTTTCATTTGCATCTGCAAAAGGGCAATACCATTTTTTTTAACTGTGCACATATAATAAGAGACAAATTGGCTAAAAACATACAGAACTTTGTTGGAATGAAATTCCCAATTCATCCCTTAAAACCTTGATCCAAGTGTGAGCAGAATTGAGTTGGATTGTATTCACTTTTTCTCTGTAGCATTAGATTACAATCAGAGACATAATGAGTGGCTCTGAAATGCAATTATTTTAAATGGTATTGTAAAATGCTGTGTCCTGAGGGTTAATACTCCATGATATTGAATCATGGAAAAGAAAAGTAATGAACTGGCTCACATACATTACTCTCTGCCCTCTGATTTCCACCAACACACACACACACACACACACACACACACACAATTGCAGATGCAAAATGAAAGCACATAAACATGATGACGACATGTTCACCTAAGGCCTTCATTAATAATTCATGATTCATATTCTGGCCCTTTATAAAACCGTCCGGGTACGTTTTCAGTTTTTTGTCTCAGTAAATGCAACACTCTTCCAATCTGACCTTTTTACCTCTTCTAATGCAACATAACTGAGACGTTAAAATCTGGATGCTTGTTTCAAAGTCGCAATGTGGCAAACATTCTGCATCTGCGTCTAGACAATGTGCCATTCCTCAATTATCAGATAATCTAATAAAAAAAATTTAAAAAACTGTGAGCACGGCAAACTGAAAACTAGAAGGGCTCATTTTCATGGCTGAGGTTTGAGATTCTGCTGAGGCCACGTTTTCTCCTTTAGAGTCTAACCCCATTGTACCTTCAGCCTCAAAACCCTGCCAATCTTCCACTGGGAATCACACAAGAAGATCTCCGAAATGTCAGCCTGACAGAAGCACTTTTTACTGCCCTTCCTGCCACTGCAGCAGAGCCACTGGAGGACGGAAAAGGGTCACTAACTGTGTGTGCATGTGCACAAAATGTGTGCGTATGCACGCACGCAGCTGTAAGCTTTAGATCGCGACACTAGGGTGCCAGATATGCATGCATGGCATCTAAATCACTGTGGTGTTATGTAAAAAAATTGCAAAGAGTGTTTGTGGACACTCTTTTTTTCTGTTGAGCTCCGGAAGTGAGCCCCAAGGCGAACCCCTTTGACCTTTCCAAAATGTTACTGCCCATTTGGCACGGCAGCCACAGCTAATAAAACTTTTATAATCATGAATTTTTTATTCCAGTCCCACTCCAGGCCTTGGGCTAACCTAGACCATGGTAGCCCAAGACCCTGAGAGAGATGGAGAGATGTTGTGGGAGGCTGTGGCTTGAGGTTTCATCATTCTACCCCCTGAGTTTTGACATGTTAACATTTTGAGTGGCATGCATTTCCGTTTTTTTTTTGTTTTTTTTAATGAAAATAATGCTTCTTTTTCTGCCTCTTCCCTCTCAAAAAGCAAAAAACAATCTCAATGAATTCTGGGAACTAGCTGCAGCCCGGTAATTGCACTCATCTGTGTAGGGTCCACAAGACAAAGCAGTCCTTGGTTTAAACGTTGCTTAGAAACTGCTGACCCCAGATCCATGTTCTCATGGTCAACTTTGCATGGGTGAAATTAGGAAATTCAGAAATATTCACAGAAGGTCATGGCGCTGGAGTAAATGTCTTAGGTTTTAAGGCAGAAAGCCCCCACACAGGATTTACATCTACATGAGTCATCAGAGAAGATTATGCAAGCTGCCCCCTGGTTCTTGTACAGAGTTTCATAATGACCTCGCTACATTCTAATAATGCTGACTTGCCATCGTCATTTATGGGGCTATATTCTTCTCCGTAACCAAGCAGAGGAATTTTTTTTTCATATCCCTGTGACCTGTGAATGCATTTACATGAGTTCTTGCATGTGGGTACCTGTGTCTTTGTAACTATAAATAGGTATAGAGCGGCTGTTCATATAGGTGTATAGAACGACAAACCTGTTTAGATAGAGAGAAAGAGGATAACAGGCAGCAACATCTGTGAAAAGATACTTACGGTTGGCAGAGTTTGATGAGGTCCTGGTCGGTGGTGCCAGGCGGAAGGCCCCGGATGTACAGGTTGGTTTTACTGAGCTGCTCCGCTGCACTGTGGCTGCTGCTATTGGTGCTGGGACTGGGCGGAGCCATGGGAGGAGGGGGCGGGGCATATGACTGCTGCAAGACAGAGAAAGGCATAAGTTGTTATTAAAAATGTATATGATTTATATTAGATTACTGTAATATTCACTTTTGAACAGCAGTTTAGTTTAGTTATTTATAAAGCACATAAAAACAACAGGTGTTGAAACCTGCTGTACAACAAATATAAAACAAACCTAAAAACATACATAATCAAATGCTTTGCCAGCAAGATCTCATGACTCAGAAAGAAGATAAAAATGCATCTCTAATGGGCATCTCTAGCCACTGTGAGCTTAAACATGCCTTTAGGTGAATAATTTATGAGTCAATGAACCTTAGTGAGAGTCGACACTATATTTACTATAAAACAAGGCTTTCAATATAAAACAAATTATCCATTCAATAAGATGTGCAATCGTAATTTCTAATACCTTACAATGAACTGGTCTTTTAATTTGGTTTCCAAACACATATATGCAGTTAGTAATACTAATATAACGGAGAGTTCTGGTCCTGGCTTCTGAATGGTCAGTTATATCAGCATCACAATAATAGTCTACAATAAGTGGTCTTTGGTCGTTATATAGTTAAGAGAAATAACCCTGTCAAGCTCTGGCAAACTCTGCTCTTTTCTTGAATATGCGTTGTCCGTGACTGTCTGTATTAGGATCGATATATGTTTATGTGAAGACTGATACTATCCATACAACAAGAGCATTGAAATTTCAATTTCAATCCACCCATCACTACTGAAGTCCTGCCTCGTTCTGATTGATTGGTCCAGTTAATGCGCAGTGCACCTGGAGCTTCAACGCCTCCAGTTTGAATGTTGGAATATTTTAGATGCTTTGCCAGCTAAATCCTCATCTGCAAGGTTCATTACAACTGATTCTACTTATATCCCTCACAGTTTGTTTTAATTTGCATCAGTTTAAATCAGGGGCGGCATTTCCATATGGCAGTTGCCATACCCTAACCTCCGCCGCCATACCGCGGTTGTTCGTTGCATACCCTATCGTCCCCCAGAAAGCGATTTTAACCGAGTGACCTTTCCCCAGAGCCTCAGGGTGGTGCAACTTGTGAGGTGCGAACACATTTGCTAACGGACAATGGGCCGAGGTCCCGGGTAGGCAATCTCTGCCATACTCTGGGGTTTTCTGAAACGCCGCCACTGTTTTAAATACGACATCTTCCTTGACGAAGATTCAGTTAGGCTTTTGATCCACATACGCACTGAGCATTCAGTACTTTCTAGCAGACATGGCAGTCAGATATAGAAACATCACTGTGACAGTTAGACTGTGGCATGAGAGCTATTATTTACGTGTGTATGCGCACTTTCCTAGTGATGTCTAGGTAATGGGCTGTGTGTGTGTGTGTCTGGCCTGCGCTTTCTCTGTGTTTGCAATAATCATTGGCTGTCAGTTGTGCTGTACACTGGCAAGTCTCCCCTGGCATTAATCTATTACCTGCACTTCCCCACAGCCTGCAATTTCCTCCAGAGAGACGTTCAGACAGACAGACGGACAGACGGGCCTATCACAGCTAGAATAGATTCTGCATTCATATAATTCACACACCCCTGTGCCTCAGGCTACAGTTATGAATGAACCCATTGAATTCTCAGGAATACAACACACAGACAGGGAATAGAAGACGAAGAATTGCCATAAAAACACATTGTACGCATATGCTTAGAGGGAAATATAAACCTCATGTTCTAACTGAAAAAGTAGGGAGATTTATATGAATATGAGAAGGTTGGGCATAAGCACATTGCACAAACAATTACATACATACCAGCAGTGTTGTTAGTAGGTAACTAAAAGTACTACTTACTCAAAAGCCACTACATACTCAATTTCATTTTCAGTCGCATGACAGTCGTTCAGGTGTTGTAGCATTTCCTGTAACAAGCTTTTTATTCCAACTTGTAGTAACCAAATGCTACATTTCTGTGAGCTCAAAGGGTGAACAAACACGCACTCTTAAAGGGGTCATATGATGCGATTTCAAGTTTTCCTTTCTCTTTGGAGTGTTACAAGCTGTTCGTGAATAGATAAGATCCCTAAAGTTGCAAAGACTAAAGTCTCAAACCCAAAGAGATATTCTTTATAAAAGTTAAGACTCGTTTCATCCGGGGGACGATAGGGTATGCAACGAACATTCACTGGATGCCTCGTTTATAATGGGTTTTATTGGTTTTGTCTCGTCGCTCCGGTCGGGACACGGCATCACAGTATGGTAAGGGGCGTAACATTTCCATCACACGCTTGAGGAATTCGGCCAATTACGACGCACTGGATAGCTGGCCAATCAGAGCACACCTCGCTTTTCAGAACGATGAGCTTTGTAAAAATCGACGCGTTTCAAAAAGGCGGGGCATAGAGGAGAAACAATAATGTACAGTATGTGGAAAATAATGTGTTTTTTTAACCTTAAACCGCATAAACACATTTCATTACACCAAATACACAAAATAATGTTCTTTTTAGCAGCATCATATGACCCCTTTAAAAAAAAAA